ACGTGGGCTAGCCTAGTCAAATTTCTGCACCAGTAAATTATGTTCTGCCTCCCTGTTGTGCGTTTGCCAATTCCACCTGCTATTTCTCCCTTGCTTGCAGATGACTAAAGTGAAATGTGGCTCAAATTAAACCCTCAGAGATCTGAAAGTGCCCCAAAGTTTTACTTTAACTCCACTCCAGAAGTTGAATTTCTGGGGCACGGGAAGAGGCAGATCTAAGGCAGGGATGAATACAAGTTTACTATAAGCTTCTGCAAAGCAGCTAGCATAGCAGCTTGAGCACAGCTGGGAAAGGCTGTCCGTATTCCTCACCATACCTTGGAGAAACTCCCAAATGGGATTTGTCTCCTTGAGCCCAGCCTGGTCTACGACTGGGATCTGAGAGCTGAGTTAACACAGGGAAGAAATCATCAGTAAGAAGAAACGTGTTCATGTAGCTATTGGCTTGGGGCGGCAATTATCCTGAGGGATAATTGCTTATCCTAAGGGGCAGCAGTGGATGTTGCCCCATGAGTCCGTGCTGGTGAGTTGTAAAGAGGCTTATTAGCCGCAAGACTGAGAGGACCATTGTTTTTCTTCTCTGTCCTCAGGAGCCGGTCAGTTAGTGCGTGTGAACATCTAGCATCATTCACAACAGCTTCTCATATCTGTCAAGCCCAATAAAAGTCAGTCGGATGAAAGGGAGGAAGAGAGAGGTGCATCCATCTCCAGACTTGCTTTCTCAGCCATGAGAACATGTGTCAGACATGGAGAGCACAGGAAGGTTGTGCCGCAAATCATTAGCTGCCCTGGATCTTTGCTGAGCTGGCAGCTTTCTGCATCAAATGTGCCAAGTAGGGCACACGTCCCTTTGGGGGAGCGCTGCCTGGGTTTTCCGGCGGGTTTTGATTGTGCAATGTGTACAGGTGCCGGGGGTTTGAGTGCTCGCAATAATGTCAAGATTTCTTGGCTGAGATTGGAACTTATTCTTCAGAACTGGAGCCGGGTGGGCAGGGAGAGGAAGATCCCTGATCAGTTCACCGGGCTTCATCGTCCTAGGCTGAGTCCTGGGGTGTTGGTTGTCGCTGTGTTGGTCTAAGGACATAGGAGACAGGGTTCTTTGGGTAGATGTGCTGTCTCTTATTAGACCAACTAAAGAGTTGGAAAAAGTATTCTTTGCAAGCTTTTGGGGACAAACATCCTTCTTCAGTCTGAAGAAAGGTGTTTGTACCTGAAAGCTTGCAAAGAACAATTTTTCCAACTCTTTAGTTGGTCTCATAAAAGATACCACATTTATCCAAAGACCCTTGCCTGCCTAGGCTGAGTCCTGTGATTTTCATGCCGTTTCCTGATGGTGTGCGAACTGCGTGAAACAAGGACAGTGTTCTTGTGTTTTTAATCCCTTCTGAACATTGCTCATGGATGGGATGGGGTGGCATTTGCTATAGAAGAATGGGAGGCAGTCTTTTTTGGCAGGTGTGCCAGAAATTTGTTCTGGTTCATGTCTGAGGAGCACTCCAATCCCCTTCCTTTGCTTTATCAGCTACTCTGCTTTCTAATCCATGCTCTGTGTTCCCTGCCCCATCTCCTGCTCTGCTTTCTGCTTCCTCTTCTACCTGCTGCCTGTCCCCTCCTTGATCTGCTGTGCGCCAATACAGAGGCCACCCATGCCACTTATGGCACTCGGGTCACAGGTTGGTCCATCTCTGTGCTAGATCATAATTCGTCCTTAGTTAACTTATGCTATACTGGCAGGGCAATGAGAATTTTATGGTGTGAAGGAGCATTCACTTGTGTTAGCCACTTCCCTGGACAGCCTAGGATGCTATACCAGGCCTGTGCCCAGTCTTCATGCTGGCATGTCAGAGGTCAGAGTTCATGGCACCCAAAGCCCACCCTGAAGGTTAATCCAACTCGCAGGACCTCCATGGCCTATAAAGGTAGCTGATGTCCCAGTAACAATTGAAAATCAGCCCCATTTTTCCCCCGTAATGATACTGAAAGCAAAAATAAACCAGGTTGGGGGGTTTAAGTGCAATCAGCTCTATGTGCTTGTTTAGAGCCCTTTGGATCCATGCAGATGCAGGGGACTGTCGGGAAGGTGCTCAGAGCAGTGTTGGGGTCTGGGTCATGTACAGTTAGTCCTCTGCGAGCTGCTAAGCTGCATTTCCTCAGTCGGTGCACTTATGTGGAAGAAGAAGTCTCCATCATGGGGACGGTTGCATGGGACATGGGGATGGGGAGGAAAGGCAACAAAATGCAGCTTTTCCTCTTCATGTCAGCTCAAAAACCAGAAAGAAAATTAGCAGAAGCAGATGGAATGCCTCCGGCCTGGGCTTTTGTAGGTCAGATGATTGTTTTTCTGCTTGTTTGGTAAATTTAACTGCATTTAAGTATCTGTCTCTTCTTAATAAGATGTGCTTATTCCCAACCTCTCTACAAATCAGATGTGACAGCTATAGTCAAGTGGCAGAAACATGCTGGGGACAGGAGCTCAAGGATAAGGTTTACGTTTTAAAATGAGTCATGAAAACAGAGCAGCCTCTTGGGCCAGTTGGGAATTCTCCTCCTGGGCACAACGCTTGCACCTTGGATGGCATCTTTTAAAATATACATTTACAGCACTGAGTGTTGTCTTCTATTATGACAATTTTAGCAAGTCTGTGCCGGAGGAGGCAGCAGGTTAACATAATAACAGTGCCAAAGATGGCTTGATATTCTGGAGGGCGCTTTGAAAGTTTCAGAGCTTTTTAAACTTTGCAATGCCTGCAGTTGGTGCCTTGTAATACATACATGAGCCACAATTCACAAAAGTGCTTGAGAACAGATACACGCACACACACACATTGCCCCTAGCGGGGTTTAGGCACATTAGATGTGCTAACTACTTCGCTAAATAACAATTGCCAGGTCTTATGAAATCCAGACTTTTTTTTTTTTAAGTCTCCCAGATTTCTGTCTCTATCCTGTAACATCCCTCTCTCTCCCCCCCCCCCCCCTTT